TATTACTTAAATTGTTTTTGTCCTCAGATTTGGGTAAATCTGCACAAAATTGTTGCCAAATTGTGTCTTCTTTTTGTTTGACCGCCTCTTCGCTCAACACTTCCTTAACCTCCGGTTCTTTCGCTTCGTCGACGTCTCGACCCTTATGTTTGCGATGTTTTCGTTTGTGTCCGTCTGACTCGTCATAGTCCTCGTCTTCGGCTTCAGAACAGCTCTCATCTGCAATGAAAACAACATATAATTAATATCGAAATGCATTCATAAATATACTTATTATATAAGGTTTGATAAAAACCAAGGGATGAAAGGACTGACCGCTTCGTTGGACCACTTCTTTGTCCGGATTGTAGTCCACGTCTTCGTTGTCATCGTCTGAATCTTCTTCATTGGTTTCAAACAAATTATTTAATAAATTATTTGACATTTTGTGCGATTTTTTGGTCAATTAATTCAAACAAATGTGAAATGAAATCAAAAAATAAATAAATATTGAAATCAATTGTGAATTGAATTGAAAGCAAAAGACAATGAAAAATGTGTTTCAAAATGCATTACGAAATGAATACGTTTTATATGAATGGCCCATAATTTTACACACTTTCTCCCTCTTTGAAATGATCGCAAAACATGTGTACAAAAAACGCTTAATATTTGCCCCCTTTATGTTGTTTACCACTAAAATTGTTGTGCATTTTGTATGACTTGAACCTCACGTATGAGACAATAAAACTCCTGCTTTGATATGAGAGTACTATATATATGAATGTGTTGTTTACAAGTCATATGCATTTTCAGTGCATTTAATGATTGAAGTGTTGAATGTTTGGAGGATTTCCTCATCAATTGTGCACTACTTTTACTGCAAATCATATTATAATTGCATTTCATTTATAAATCCATTTTAAATCCACTTTTAAATCTCATTTCATTTTTTTGTCACAATTTTTAACCATTTGTTTGATTTGTGTTTTTGTCGGACGAAACGATTTTTGCAATTTTTTGGTTAATTAAAAGTAAGTCTCATTTGAAGTGTGATTTTGTTTACAATTTTTTGTTATAAAAAACAAAAACAGAATTTTTTAATGACTTTTGTGTTGAAAACAAAACACATTTAAAAGACAATGAAATATAAAAACATAATGTTTTGACTGTTTATTATTGCATTGATATCTGCATTGAAGTCGTGTTTGAGTGATGGGTAACTCAAACACCACCTCTTCGTCAAAGAGAGACCGAACCTATTCTGTGGACAGCGCTTACGATAGGCGAGAGTCGAGTAGTCCTCGATCTGAAGACAACCGTACCTTCGAGTTCGTGGCCGGCGGTCGCAAAAAGCCTGTCCTCTGCTATCAGTCTTCCTCTGAATACGGCAACGAAGACACCGATGACTTCAAGGTTAGCATCTCTTATGGCATTGAGTATAACCTCTATTAATGTTATCATTTGAACCATAGGGTCGTCTCAGGGCGTCCACTATCACCGAGGGAACCGCTATTAATGAGAACGCATTGCCCACTGTCTTCAAATGGGAAGGTATGACACACTCGAGTGAATCCAATGAATCTGATTATCATTTAAGTGCTATAACTATAACTTAATGTGAGGACAGGCGGTGGCAAAGAGGTGTTCATAACGGGAACGTTCAGCGAATGGAAACCAATTAAGATGTGTCACTCTCACGGAGACTTCGTTGCCATCATTGATGTGCCCGAAGTATTACCGAATCAATTGATCCATTAGTTTATAATCTAAACACTGATACCATTGGATGCCTTTATCTCTAGGGAACACATAATTACAAGTTTGTGGTCGACGGACAAGAAGTAGTGGACGACAACATCACTGTCGACGAGGAGAAGAGGAATAACGTAATTAACA